TGTCCAATTGGCACATGCAGACCTGGCAGCTAACAGCAGTGAAAGCTTTGTGTTTGTCCTTAATGCTGCTTTTGAAACCCAAAGGAGGAAAAATAAAAAAGTGAGCCAGCAGGAAGGCAGCCTGGAGAGCTCCCAGTCACAGTGTTTGTGTTCTGAGCACTGAACCCAAAATGGGAAGTGCTGGGTGGTGCTGATGGTGATAACCATGCTGGAGTGAGGAGCTCTGCTGCCAGGTGCATTTATTTATTTATTTCTGGTTATTTTCCTGTAGATATATTTCATGCTAAAGCTCTGGATGCCTTCTGCTGACATCTGCTGATCTTGCAGCTCATGGCTTTAAAGCATTTGTTCCTTTTAGAGCCAAGCAAAGGGTGCTCAGGTGTGATGTGGAACCAAAGGGTGCTCAGGTGTGATGTGGAACCAAAGGGGGCTCAGGTGTGATGTGGAACCAAAGGGGGCTCAGGTGTGATGTGGAACCAAAGGGGGCTCAGGTGTGATGTGGAACCAGTCTGAGCTGTCACAGGTGGAATTCTCCAGGCTGGAGCTGCTTTGCAGGATTGGAGAAATACTGGTGTTATTCAAAGTTCTGATTTAAGAGGATGTAAAAATACCCTGCAGGAAGCCTGGTCTGACACAAGCACCAGAAATTCTCCTGTGCAGGCAGCATTGCAGGGCTTCATTCCAAGAGCTTTGGGTGACCAAGAGCTTGGAGTTGCAGAGTTTTCAGAGTCAGAGCAGATTCTTCTGTAGTGAATTAGCTTCAATCTCCTCAACCTCTAAATGAAAAAATCAAAAATCACAGTCTTTACCTTTAAAATGAAAATCACAGTCTTTTCCTGTCTATTTATGTTCCTGCTTCTAAGGAAAGCTGGCTGGGGCCTGTGAGCACCAATCACATGAGAAATACATCTTAGATATAATCCAAAGGAGTAGCATTTTTTCCTTCCCCATGCTTTTGATGTTTGCCTCTATCATTTTACTTCTTCCATAATTTGGATAGTACCTGAATACCCCATTTCCAGAAAATACTTCTGCTCTGAAATTCCCAGTTTTGATTTAAGTTGTGGCTCTGATTTAATTTTTGTGCTGTTATATGTTGTTTCTTCATAATCCATACAATATTTATTTTTTTCTTTCCTTGTGTTTCCAGCAGCTAAGCTTAAAACAGATTAAAACTTTGGCACCTTGCTGATGCCAGAGCATGTTTGTGCCTGTGCTGTAACTCCTGTGTGCATTTGCCAACATTTGGGCTGTGCATTTCCAGTTGGCATAAAGAGGGTGCCAATACTTCCTGTAGTTAAAATTTACCCATTCCATGCGATCAGAAAATGGCTTTAGATAACAATTAGATATCTTAATTTGATTAAAACTTTTGCAAACATTCTGAGCTGGCTTTGGGTGGTAAAAACAATTTCTCTGAGGTAAAAACAATTCTCTGAAGGGATCAGATGTTTAGTGGGTACTGCCTGCCTGTCCTTTTGTCCTGGTGTCACTTATATTTGCAATTGTGACTTTATTTACTCTCTTTGACACCTCAGTAGTGGAGCTGTCAGATTTGTCCTGGAATGGACATAAATCAGAAATAATTTGTTTGAAAGTAGCAATTGTTTCTCTTTAGTTTCTTTGCCCAAGAACTGGCTATTCCTGGTGATGCTTTTACACAATTTCTCTGCTCCAGAGTTCTGCAAATTCCACCCTGTCCTTGAAGTTGGACATGAAGGTGTGTACATGAGTCACAGAGGCCAAGATTTTTAGGAAGTGGCTAAATTTAGGTTCTGAGTCACATTTAGGAACCTAAATAATTGACCTAATTTTAAACTAACACAACAGAATTATGGCTGTCCTGCCTATGCCCTTAATAGCAACAATTCCAAATTTCTTGGAGTGATTTACATCAGTCAGGCTGCTGAATTTCAGCTGGATATGGAAATTCTAACCCTGCTGGCATGTCAGCTTTGAATCTGCACTGTGGAAGAGATCCTGATTTGTAAAACCTCAGTTCTCTTACTTGGCACATTCCAAAGTGTAAATGGCCTTGTCCTTCTTTTCCAAAATGCTTTATCTTTGTGCAGAGACATGGCCTGGCCTGTGGAGCATGAGGTGGAGAAAGCAATGAAACACAATTTTCTATTTCTAGTAGAGAAGAAAGATTTCTTTGCTTGTAGATATTTAAATCTTTTTAAAACCTGTGCTGCTTTTTTTCAATGGTATCCTTTGTGAATATTTAACTGCTGATCATTGTAAGCAGTTGATATCTTCTGTACAAATCCATATGTGGGGAATCCCAGGCTGGGAATGCTCCTGTTCTCCTTGCCAGTCAGCTGTGTTAATTCTCTGTTAATTCTCCATTAATTCTCCTGAATCCTGGAACTCTCTCCCAGCAATTTCAAGATTCAGGAGGCAAACTCACTCATCTATTGCCCACCACAATCAGTGCATCTGCAGTTATCAAAATCAGTTCTTTTCAGGTCACCTGCAGGATGCTGCCCTGGGCAGGCACTGGGGACGGATGCACCATCTGCAAGGTACAGAAGAAATGAGAAATTTTCCTCATTTTCAAGCACAAGCTCCTGTGCTGGAGCCAGGCTGTGATAGGAGAGCACTGACCTTGGGCAGTGCTGAGGGCTCTCTGTGTTCTGTGGAAAGGACAATCTGCTGACCTCAAGTAATTCTTCATCCTCCAGAACAGTGCAGGAAAATTAGTTTAGTAATATTTTAGCACATAGTGAAATTATTTTAGTGGATATTTTAGCACATAGTGGAATTAGTTTAGTGGAAAAGGACTTTTTTAACATTGGACATAAAATGGGGAAAAACTGCTTTGCTGTACCAGCTTTCTAATAAACTTTCTTCTGGGAAATTTGTGCAAGAGATTTCCTTTCATGTTTTACTCCTTGATGGGGCAGAACATGTGAAGGGTGACTGATACTTCCAAATCCAGGCATTACTTCTGATCTTTGGTGCCTCTGGAGCCAATTAGTTATTAATATAAAACTGAATAATCTTTCTACTTTTTTCATTAAAAGGCTTTTCAGGTATCTGACTTGGGTAGCCTGAACTGTGCCATTGACTGGAGTTTTCTATCAGAAATTACTTCTCTGGATTTGTTTTCATGGTGTCATAATCAGAATTTACAACCTTCCTGTGTTTGCAGGAATAGGTAGATGGGGGAAATAGTGCCTACAAAGGATTCTCTGCAGTCCAAAAGAGGCCAGAGAATAGGTAGATTTTTCTAGCACTTTAATTCACAGCTGAAGGCACTGCCTTGTGATACTGAGTTTGGTTTATCTGTTGAAAATAAAGTTGAGGGTAGAGGTAGAGTAAAAATAAGAGTAAGAATGAAACTAAAAATAGAGAGGGCAATGAAAAAGCAGAGCAAAACACGAGGATCAGACAGGATCCAGCTGTGCTGGAGCTCCTGGGGATCCTCTATGACCTGACAGGTACAAGGAGGGAGTGCTAAAATGTGTTAGGACAGGCTGAGCATCCAGGAACACATCACTGAAAGGAAAAGCAGAGGCCAGACTGGGTAAGAAGGAGCTTGTAGAGTGAATTTGTTGAGAGGTTTATCTGTTTGGAAAGAAAAAAAAAAAAATTGGGGAAGTAGCTGATGTTTGATCAGAGTAAGGTTGGTGTGTGAAAATGACCAAAAGTTCAGAGTAACCTGAATTTGGCAATTTCAGAGGAAGGGGGAGAAGAGAAGTTTTCCAGTGCTCAGAGGCTGAAAGAGGGAACAGTGAGGAGTGGACAGGAATCCATGACAGGAACCTGTGTTGCAGTGAGGGCTGGGCACTGGGATGTGCAGGGAGCACAGGAACCTGTGTTCCAGTGAGGGCTGGGCACTGGGATGTGCAGGGAGCACAGGAACCTGTGTTCCAGTGAGGGCTGAGCACTGGGATGTGCAGGGAGCACAGGAGCAGCTCAGGGCAGCCTGGCTGGAAGTTTCTGGAGCAGCCCCTCACAGGAGGAGCTTCCCTGGCTGTGCTGAGGAACTCCAGCTCCTCACACAGGCTGTGCCCCACCTTTGGAGCATTTCTGCTCTGTGCCCCACGTCACCAAAATCCCATTGCACTGCTGAAGTCACCACTTGTGCTGGAGTTCAGCATCCTCTGCTTTGGCTGCTGCTGTTTGTTCATCCAAAACAACAGGATCAGAATTAACCAGATCCTTGTTAGGGTGGTAAATGCACAGTGTTTGAGAAGGGCCTGACAAGAGAACTTGGGAAAGTCCCAAGTGGTCAATTCAGAAAGGAACAGAGAGATGTGGGCAGGCTGGTGTGGTGGATTGGAAACAAGAAAGGAAAATGCCTGGCAAAGAAATGAAGTAGAAATAACAGGAGACTGTTCTTACATGAAATTATTGAGGGGAGCTGACCTTGCAACACAGAAAAACCAATAAATGTAAGGCACACCCCAGAAATGTGAACATCTGTATTTAACCCTTTTAGACAACTTCAGCTACCAGTGACCTTTTTCTTCTCCAGCCACCCTGAGAGCATCTCTGCCATTGTCACTGTTCCCTGAGCAGGATGGGAACATGATCTCTGCACAGAAGCAGAACCAGGGCACTGCTGCTGCCTGCAAAGCTGCTCCAGCAGCAGAGATGTTACTGTGAGGAACTCCTAGGGATGCAGATCCTGAGATATCTGAGCGGGAAAGATCCCTTGGTGCCAAGAGCTGAGGGATCCTGTGTGGATCTGGCTTGGGGCACTGTAGGTGCCCAGTTTGTTCCTGCTGCCCCCATGAGCTCACCCTTGCTGTGATCTGCTGAGGGGTACAGATGTGCTGTTTTGAGGGTGACATGAGGAAACAGCTCTTTAACCTGCCCCCATCTCTGGTTGTTGGTCTCACACCATGTGCTCTCAGGATTTGCTCGGTTTATTGTGAAAATCAAATTATTTTTACCTGGAGAAGTAAAGCTTGAGATGTTTCATGTCCTGTTACTTTCACTCTTACCATAAAATATTCTTGGTTTATGTGTTGTCAGAAGGAATCTGCAATGAGGAAAAGAAAATTATGGGGTTTTCAACTTTTCCCCAAAATAATTCTGCTTACATTTGTATAGGTTTGGTCTATAGCTCAAGCAGCTCTAATATAAATAAAATTTTTATTAAATGTTTTAAATGTTATATTTTTCCTTTCTTTTCCAGGGCAGGGAAACCACCACCTGGCTTACATCTGGATGTAGTCAAAGGAGACAAACTCATTGAGGTATGGAATGAGGGTTTGGTGGGTTTGGTGTATCAGCAGCAGAACATTCCCATCATTTCTCACACTTACTCATAAGTATTTCCTTTCCCTCGTGTATTCATTATCTTCAAATCAGTATTTTTTTTCTCTGAAACAATGAATGAAGTGATTTTCCCTTGCCTGTGCAAGGCAGCCTGGTGCCATGCAGGGCTTCCATCAGTTAAACCTCTTCCCCTTGTGCTGCTTGTTTGACAAACCTGTCTGCTCAGTTTATTTTTTATTTTGCATTACAGTCAGATTCACCAGGCATTCTCTATTTTGCAAGAGTGCTGCTCTGTCCTACAGCATGAAATACAGTTTGATTTGATTTTTCCTCCCACATTCAGGATCTGTGAGCAGTGTTGTGATCAACACAGATACAGCAAGATATTTTTATTACAGCACCACCTCATTCTCTGTTTCATATTTTGTCTTACATCACACTGAAAGTAATAAATAAAGAAAAGTCTCTTTTCCCTTGTTGACAGAGAGAACCCAAACCAGTGAATGTATTTCAGTGTGGAGAGACTCCTAACTGGAACCTGACTGAAACAGAAATGTTTCTGGGTGTAGTGGTTTGATCCAAATACCAGACACCCACAAAAGTCATTCACTTATCCTGCTACAGTTGGACGGAGGAGAGGGGAAAAATTAATGAGGGGCTCATGAGCTGAGATAAGGATTGGGAGGGAAAAACCACTCTAAGAGCAAAACAGGTTCAAATTTAAAGGTATAAAGTAAATATATTATTAACAGTCAGAGGAGGATACAAGAAGTAAAATAAGCCTTTAAAACACCTTTTTTTCTCCCCAGCCCCTCCCTCTTTCCCACTGACAGCACAGGGAGATTTGGTGGGGGCCTGGGGGTTTTGGTCAGTTCATCATGAGATCTCCTTGCTCAGGGAGAGGAGTCCTTTCTCTGCTGTGCCATGGGGTCCCTCCCAGGGGCAAAAACTTCCCAGAACTGCTGTGGTGTGGGTTACCCATCCATGGGGGGCAGGCTTTTAAGGCTGGGCTGCTCTAGTTTGGAAGCAAAGGCCTTTTCTCTCCATTTGGGTCTCCACTGGATCACAGCTGTCTCTGGCACCCACCTGCTCCAGTGTGAGCCCTTTTCCCAGGGGCTGTGGGTGGATTTCTGTATCCCTTGTGGATCTCTGCCTCCCCCATGGATCCCCACAGGCTGAGGGTGGATCTCTGCCTCCCCCATGGGTCCATGCATTTCAGGGGCTGTTTCACCCTGGTCTCACCACAGCCTGCAGAGGAATCTCAGCTCTGGCACCTGGAGCATCTCCTCCCTCTCCCTCTCCCCTGCCCTTGGTGCCACCATGCTGTTTTCCCTCACATGTTTTCCTCAGCTCCTCCTCTTCTCTGTCTAAAAGGAAAAACTGCTGCTGGTAGGTACCATTGCCACTAATTTAAATATTCTTGCAAGATCCTCTAGCACTGAGCCAAACAGCACTTGGATGTGATCCTTGTGTTTATTTCCCTGCTTAATACAGGTGGCAGAGAGTTTTTCAGTTTTGTCTTTCCTGGTGGGCAGCAGTAACCAAGGGGGAGCTTTGTGAAATCCTGGGGGTTGGTGAGCACTTGATACTAACCGAGCCATCAGTGTCCCTGTGATTGCTGGGTCTGCAAAGTGCTACAGCAAAACAAGCCATGCAGTGTTTAAGCTCAGTGTGTGAAGAAAGACACTGGGTTATAGCTCAGAGGCACAGAACATTTTAAAAATGTTGTACTAAATGCAATAAAATTCTCTTATTTGTTGCAGTAACTTCCATGAATTTATGTCTTTGCAAAATCTCTTGGAAGCGTTCCCCAGGCAGGGCAGTATTGTTTGCAAATGAAAACTTACAGGATGCTTTTGGTTTCAGTTGTGGGCAAGAATGAGAAATGGTTTGATCAGTTTTTATGGTAACTGAAATTGTGAGGTAACTGCTTGCAGAGCTGATCAGTGTTTGTGGAGCAGACTTGAGTTTATTTTAGCAGTGCCAGACTAAACTGAAATATTGATGAGCTGTTGATGCTTTGTCTTGAATTTGCTCTATTTATTCACCTCCTTGAATTTTTTTCAGGAAGTTCCAAAAGATTCTAGGAGTCTAATATGCTTCTCTGTTTGATATTCTACCTCAGAAACTCATCATTGATGAGAAGAAATACTATCTCTTTGGGAGAAATCCTGATCTGTGTGACTTTACCATTGACCACCAGTCTTGCTCTCGGGTCCATGCTGCCTTGGTCTATCACAAACATCTCAAGAGGGTTTTCCTCATAGATCTGAACAGCAGTAAGTAGTGTGGCATTTAACCAGACAGAAGAGCTGTGCTTCAGTGCTTAAACATTCTGAATCTCAGACACTTTTTCCTTTTCCATTGTTGTCTGCACTGTGGGCAAATGGATATAATTTGAATTTGCATCCTAGGGAAAGACAAGGGTTAGGGCAAAGGAGTGTTTGCTCCAGTCAGCCTACAGCTGCCTCACTGGGTGTTTCAAACATTTCTGACTTGTAAGAGGCCAAAGGAGATGAGGAAAGTGACTTGGCCTTCCCATCACAATTTTAGTGAAGCCTTGTCTTCTCAGGGTGATTTCCCAAGGTCTAAAACCTGTCAGGTGTTTTTTTGCGCTGTCCAGACAGTACATTGGGACCTGCAGGAATACAGAAAGTAAAAGGTGTTTGTAGTTTATTTCCAGTGACTTTTTGAGGACTTCTGGTGTGTGTTATCTCAGTTTGTGACATGGTGGATCTACACAGCTGATGCTTTCAGCAGTACCTCAGTGCCTTGTACCTTGGAACAAATGTTACCATAGCTGAGATTCTCAAACTGGAACTGGAATAGCTCAAGCTCAGCAGACTATTTTGCATTTTGCTGTCCCCAGCACATGGCACATTCTTGGGCCACATCCGTTTGGAAGCTCACAAGCCCCAGCAGATCCCCATCGACTCCACGGTTTCCTTCGGCGCCTCCACGCGCGCCTACACCCTGCGAGAGAAGCCCCAGACCCTGCCCTCAGCAGTGAAGGGGGATGAGAAGATGGGGGGTGAGGATGAGGAGCTCAAGGGTTTGCTGGGGCTGCCAGAGGAGGAGACAGAACTGGACGTGAGTATTTGTCACCGTGGTATATTCTGAAAAATCCCTTCCGTGGGATTTCTTCTCTCGGGAAACTGCAAAGCTTCAGCTTCTCCCTGTGTTGCTGATTTGGAATGGGATTTGGAGATTGGTCATTAAATTAAAACAATTCACATGTTGGATAAACAATCATGGTCCAGCTGTGTTGAGGCTCTGAGAAGTTATGAGCTTTTATTATTCATTCTTGTCAAGCCTTCTGATGTAATCTTTTTCTTCAGTATAGTTTCAGTATAGCATAATATAATGTAATATAGTGTGATATGATATGATGTGACATATGATATGATATATGATATGATGTGACATATGATATGATATAATATAATATAATATAATATAATATAATATAATATAATATAATATAATATAATGCAGTGCAATGCAATATAATACAATACAATATAATACAATGCTATACAATGCAATATAATACAATACAATGCAATACAATACAATATAATATAATACAATGCAATATAATACAATACAATGAAATATAATACAACACAATGCAATATAATACAATATAATACAATACAATATAATACAATATATATTCTCATCTCTCACCTCATCCTGAGGACCCTCACAAACACCACAAATATGATAGGACACTGCCTCGATGGCATTTCCAGCAAGGACAGCATTCCCTGCTTGTTTGCTTAGCCATGGAATCATTTAGGTTGGGAAAGATCTTTAAGATCATCAGGTCCATAAATAACACTAAAGTTGAAACTAAACAATGTCCTGTGGTCTTCTGATGTGCACAGTCATGGGATTAAATCAGACTTCTTTTGTTTCTATATTTGCTGCAGAATCTGACAGAGTTTAACACTGCCCACAACAAAAGGATCTCCACACTGACCATTGAGGAGGGGAACTTGGACATCCAGAGGCCAAAGCGAAAGCGGAAGAACTCCAGAGTGACGTTCAGTGATGATGATGAAATCATCAATCCAGGTAAGGAGCTTGCTGTCCTCGGGTTTGAGGTGAAGTCCCTAAGGTCCTGTGAGGTGTCTTTTTACTAAATTGAGGAGAGAAACTTCTGGGCTTATTTCCTTTTTAAGCAGACAAAGAATAATTTGGTCACTCCATCAATGGGGGGCACATTCCAGCATTACCCCACAGATGATGTTTTTCCCATATACACGCTGAAGGTATCACAGGTTGTGCTCACTGAAGGCATCCCTGGTTGTGCTCACAGGTTGTGCTCACAGGTTGTGCTCACAGTCATCCCTGTTTTTCTTTGCAGAGGACGTGGACCCGTCCGTGGGGCGGTTCAGGAACATGGTACAGACAGCTGTGGTCCCTGTTAAGGTATGGGGTGACTCCTGACTTTCTCATTAGCACATTACATTGATGAATTCACTTTTATGATTTATGAATTGCGCATTAGAAACAGTGCTCCCACGTGGGAGGTGTTTCATTGCTAGGCAGAAGTGATGTCTGTGTTTCACAGTTGTCTTTTTTAGCAAATTTGAGCATTTCCCTTTGAACCCAGCTTTGTTTTTTTTCTTTAATAACACATGGAATCAATGGTGATTTTTTTTTCCTCCCAGAAAGAAACACTTTCTAGAAATCTAGTGCATTAGTTCCAGGTATCAGATAAAACTGTGGGAAATGTGGAAAATAGAAGGGAAAAATGAGAGTTGGTTCATTAAATACTGTGTTTGATGTTTCATACATTTGTGTACTAGAACAAGCAGGTTCAGGCTTTGCTCCAAGATGAGTATTCTATTTAATTGGAGTATGCAAGGAAAAAGAAAGATCTGCAGAGCTTCAGAGCAGCTAAGCCACTGTGTAACAGCAATTTCACTTGTTGCTGGTATAGACTAAATAACATCATGTGGAGAAGGATGATATTCCATAAACCCAGACTGCAGGAGAAGATTCCAATGATCAGGAGCAAAATTACCCAAGTGATCTAAAAGTTGCAGTTTCTTCCTGTAGGGGAGGAAAAGTTTGTGTTATAATGCTCTCAGGCACAGGGTGGGACTTGGGGTGTCGTGTGCAGGGCCAGGAGTTGGACTCAGTGAGCCTTGTGGGTCTGTTCCAACCCAGAACATTCTGTGACCCACTCAGTCTTTGTTCAGGATGACCTCCAGACTGGCAGGAGTGGAAAGGAGGTGAAGAGGTGCTCAGACTTCATCTGAGTTACACCTGAGTGTCAGCTTTTGTCTCCCTTCTGCACCTCTAAGAGTTTATTGTTGTGGTTTTCAAGGGAACCCAGAGCAAACCTTGTAGGACAAGACTGGGACGTGGTCTGTTGGCACTTTGTAGGTGGCAGATTTAGGTGCCTCTTGGGGAAAACTACTGGAATATCACCAATGTAGCCTGAGCTTGTCTGGCCCTTGGTGCTGAACCAAACAGCAG